AAAAAAAAAAAAAAAAAAAAAAAAAAAAAAAAAAAAAAAAAAAATTGGCAAAACATGGTGGGAAAGTATTTTCATCAATTTGAAGGAATTTGGGCAGGTGAGTGATGGTGTGGGAAAATATTTTCTAGGGAAATTATTGGCTATCAAACAAGCCAAAATGGAGAAAATAGAAATTATTTTCCAGTTTTAGGTAAAATAATGGCTATCAAACATAGACTAAGGGTACGTTTGATTGCGAGTATGGAATTTGAATAGAAAAAAAAATTTAAGCAATTATCAATTGCGTAGAATTTATTTCTAATAAAATTATTAATTAAATATGTTTGATTGATTTAGCTTTCAATTTAGAAAATATTATACTTATCTATTTTTTATTAATGGGTAGAAAAGAGAGAGAGGATAGATAAGATACAAAAAGAGAGTGTAAAATCCCTAGAAAATAAAATGTTATTTCCCCTCAAGAAAATATTTTCCTTGATTTTAAATAAAATATGGTCAGTTGACCAATAGTAGGAAATTGTTTTCCATGGAAAAAAATGTCAATCAAACAGCACAAAAGTAGGAATTTTAGTGACGAAAACGCATTTTTCATAGAAAATATTGTTAATCGAAGACAACCTAATTACGTATTTAATGAAGCATCGTATTTCCTTTTCATATATATATATATATGAAGTTAGAGAAGGAATCCCATTTCGATTAGAACACAGAAAAATAACTATAAATTTGCCTAAAATTTTGATTAGCCAGAGTTCTAGGAGTTCCTGGTTCGATTATGAGCAGACTAAATAACTTGAAATAGGACTCAGGATCCATGGTCACGTCGTGCCATTTTTAGCGTTGTCAGTTATAATCAATATTTTAAAGTTTGTTCTTGTACGCATGTGAGCATTGGGACTGGCTCTGCACAAAAGTTAGAGATTCGGAAACTAAAGACTTCGTGTTTGGTAATGAAATGGAGGATACAGAAATCCGCAGATTTTCAAAGCAAAGCGTGAGAGTTTTTGAGTTTTGAGTGTGACTTCAAACAGTTATTTATTTATAATTAATCGTGATTAGGTTCGACTGTGTCACCCTAACCAAGATGTTTAGACCTCGTTTGAGGTGTACTTTAAGTATTTTCAGAACATCGATGTCAACAATATTTTCTTGTACGGTACTCTCAAAAGTTATATACACTTAGTCCTTGTTTGATAGAAATTTATTTTAAATGAAAGTCAACAATTAATTTTAAACACATATTTTATGGGATTTATAACTTTTCAACAATATATTTCATCGACTTTTATCAAAAGTTACTAAAAAAATCTGCTTTTAATCGCACCAAACAGAGGCTTAATAACTATCGTATTATCAACTATTATTTGTTGACTTTTATACGATCTTTATCCTTTGACGCGACAACAAAAAGAAGACTGAGAAAATCTCAGTGAACATCACTTGCATTCAATACAGAAGTCATGAACCCCTTGCTATGCCCATGCTTCTCAATGGATATAATGCATTGCATATGTGCATGCATCTTCAAGGTATTAGATTAATTACCCTTTTCAACTTTTAGCATTTTGAACACCTACAAATACAATTCAAAGTCAACCCATATCATTAAAATTTAAATAAGTTCAAATTCAAGAAAAAAAATTGAAAAATATTGATTGGTATTTAGCACGATATACTCGATAAAATAAAGAAAAAGTTATATTTTCTGTCTAGTTTTTTTAGTACAATACCAAACCTATCCTACCATATATTGAGTCCACCAAACAACTTCTTAGGATGCAGATTTCGTTCGCATCTTTCGACAAGTTCCTCTTAATTGATCAATATAAAGCGAATATTTATTGATGGACGATAGTAATTAGTGTATGTAAGGGAAATTTAAGAAAATCGTATAATATTATTCGTGTTCGGTAAACGACTGTTTTATTTTAAGTCTCGCCAAATTAAAATAAAGGGCCCCACTAAAATTATCCTATGTAATAATTTAGTCATTTTATATGAAAGGGTTCGACAATTTCTTAATCCAAAAGCATGGTCACCTCATCAAGTTACTCCTAAGTCTAAAAACTAGTACATGAATCCTATACTTGTAGAATTTAATTTGTATTTGGATCTATCATACGGATGCAGAGTTCTAAGCATGGGCTACACTGCAAGATTTCAATTTTTGAGACCCACACATAAGTGACATAACACAAGTTATTAATTGGAAGTTGAAGTGCACACAACTTTCAACACGTTAACGTTTCGGTTTCAGACAAGTTTCGAACTCCAAATTCTTTGATATTTTTCCGAAGTAGTTCCAGCAACTTTGAAAAGAGTTTCCTAATTTGTTTAATTTTAATAAAATTCGAAAATCACGATGAAGTAACTTAGAACTAAGCTAATTCAAGAGTTCATAAATCGATTTTACATAATATATGTACTACAATATAATTAACAAGAGAATAGAGTTTTAAATTCATGATAAATAAAAATTTTATAATAAAAAATTTAATATATAAAAATAAATTATAAGATTTTTGCACAGCATTTCGTGTCCTACTTTTTGCATAAATAACATTTTCGAGTTTCACATCGCGTTTTGTTTTCCTTTTATGTTTTCGTGCAACCTTGATCAATACTATTTGTTCTAGCGAGCATCCTCGCTATTGCTCGACTTTTCGTTATCGTCCTCGACTCGTTTTACTTTAATTAGTGTCATTTTTATTAAAGACAGTAGAACATAATACAGACTTCTCTTTCTACTCTCTAAAATTTATTTTATATATATTAATGTACATGTACACAGCTGCACGCCAGACCGGATGAACCACACGGACTTTGCCATTAATGGCAAGGATCGACCGACCACGGCAATTTTCATTCTTTAATAAGCTGGCATATACAGCAATCTATATATATGTGTGTGTGTTAATACTTCACCATGCATGCAAGCACTAAAAAGCCAAAAAATGTATCACTTTCTCAAGGCATTCTCTTTCAGAAAATTAGCCCATTTTTTCTCTATTTTGCTCCTTCAACATTTCAAAAAGCCCAAAATTTTTTACAAGAATTTCACTAGTACTGCTTCTATATCCCAGTTTGGCTATCAAAAATTACAATTTCTTACTCAAAGATCAGATTTGGAGGACCATTTCTTGATCTTCAATGTGGAAAGTTCTTTGTTGAAATCTTCCTCTGTGTTTCCTTACTTCATGTTGGTAGCATTCGAAGCCGGAAGCCTTTTAAGGGCTTTCGTGCTCTTCGTTTTTTATCCTTTTATTCGTTTTTGCAACGAAGATTTAGGGTTGAAAATTATGGTAATGGTTTGTTTTTTTGGGTTAAAGAAGGAGAGTTTTAGAGCAGGAACTGCTGTCTTGCCGAAATTTTTTCTCCAAAATGTTGGGAAGGAAAGTTTTGAGGTCTTGAATAGAGGTAAGAAGAAAGTGGCTATAAGCAATTTGCCTCAAGTAATGGTCGAGAGTTTTTTGAGAGATTACTTAGATATTGAGTTTGTTTTTGGAAGAGAATTAAGGGTTTTTGGTGGGTTCTTTTTGGGATTAATGGAAGAAAAAAGGGAATTTGTTTTGGAGAAGAATGCATCAAATCTTATTGGAGTCAGCAGCTTCAGGAAACCTTTTCACTCTCAAGGGTCTTCTTATTGTAAGGTAATTTTACATCTTGACTAGACGACACGAGAAATAACTCGTTTAAACATCATCTTTTTAAATCCGTTGTCTAGTTTAACATACTAAACATGTATATGAATTAATATTTTTCCAAATGCAACAGGATGTTTATTTGGTGAGTGAAGGAGACAGAAGGAATTGGAATCAACTTCCAAGGAATTTATATCCTAAGCCATTGATATTCCATGATGGGAGATTGGCATTTAGGCCATCTTTTTTGGCTACACTATCCATGTTCATGTGGCTTCCTACGGGATGTATTCTCTCTATCATTAGGAGCTTCATTGCCTTGTCATTGCCTTATAATATGGCCATTCCTATACTAGCTTTCTCCGGGATCCAACTTCGTCTAAAGAACGTTCCAGAGAGGCGACTCGGCTCAGCCTCAGAACAAGAATATAATAAAACTCAAGGTGGCCTTTTATATGTGTGTAACCATAGAACCTTATTGGATCCTCTCATGATCTCTTATGGACTCAAAACTCCATTAACAGCAGTTACATACAGCCTAAGTCGAATGTCCGAGCTCCTAGCACCAATCAAAACCGTCCGATTAGCACGCGATAGAGATCAAGATGCAATGTTAATGAAGAAAATGTTGAGTCAAGGTGACCTAGTAGTTTGCCCTGAGGGCACAACTTGTAGGGAACCTTATTTGCTGAGATTTAGCCCTTTGTTTTCACAACTATCCAGTGATCTTGACCATTACATGTTGCCCGTCGCCATGGATTCTCATGTTAGCATGTTTTATGGAACAACCGCGGGAGGGTACAAGTGCCTCGACCCCCTCTTCTTTCTCATGAATCCACGCCCTACTTATACACTTCAATTCCTTCACAAGGTACATGGTGTGGCTGCAAATTTTGATCACGCCGAAAAATCAAAGTTTGATGTGGCTAATTCGATACAAAATGAGATTGCTAAGGTATTGGACTTTACGTGCACGACACTTACGAGAAAGGATAAATACTTGATCTTGGCAGGCAATGAAGGAATCGTTCGAGATGGAAACACCAGATGAATTGTGTTTGTCAACAATGTAAATCGAACTTACATAAACTAAAGATATAATGTCCTAATTTGTTATAATTTAAGTGATTATGAACTTTGTATCCTACAAAATGTATTGTAATAAATGAGTAGCAGTGTTGCATCCTATGAATTATTAGTAATGTATATATGCATGTACTTGTGAGAAGTGAAATACTATGTTGTCTAGTTGTTCTAGTACTTACTAATTGAGTGATTATAAACTCAATGGTATTTATAAAAAAAATTCACTACTGACAAAGTAAAGTCGAATATCCATTACATTTGTGAAGGTAATATGGTAACAAATTGATTAGCTAATACGGGTTATAAAGACAAGATATATAAGGTTTTGAAGGCTCAAGAACTAAACGGAAAAGTCCTAATCTTAACGACACCTGTTAAATGAGGAATGCCCAATTTGAGTGAGTAAATCTACTTTGTATAAGTTATATTCAATCATTTTCATTTTATGCTTCTTTAATTTTATAGAGATTTATTGATCACTCCTTCTCTTAAAAGAGAGAATCCAAGGATCACTATTCATTTTTGTCACAGCCGTTTTCCCACTTGAACAGGTTGTGAACAATTCATAAACCAGTTCAATACTATTCACTACAAATTAAAAGAGGGGATGAGGGATACACTGTTCATTCTCGCACCTTGTCTTTCACACTAATCTGGTTTTGTACTGTTCACAAACTGGATTCCTACTATTCATGAAAATCAAATATCTCTTGCAGCTTATTTTTTT